TGCGGCGGCAGCGGCGCAGTATCCGTCAACAGGACCAGGTTGTTCACGCTGCTGCTGCTGGGTACTGCTGCTGCTGCTGCTGCTGTTGCAGCATACATTAGCATGGCGCAGCAACAGGTTGTTCACGCTGCTGCTGCTGGGGGCTGTTGCTGCTGCTGTTGCAGCATACAATAGCATGGGGCAGCAGCAGGTTGTTCACGCTGCTGCTGCGGGGGGCTGCTGCTGCTGCAGTGCAGCATGCATCAGCATGGGGCAGCAGCAGGTTATTCACGCTGCTGCTGCTTGTGGCTGCTGATGCTGCTGCTGCAGCATACAGTAGCATGGAGCAGGAGCAGGTTGTTCACGCTGCTGCTGCTGGGGTCTACTGCTACTGATGCAGCACGGATCAGCATGGGGCAGCAGCAGGTTGTTCACGCTGCTGCTGCGAGGGGCTGCTGCTGCTGCTGCAGTGCAGCATGCATCAGCATGGGGCAGGAACAGGTTATTCACGCTGCTGCTGCTGGGTGCTGCTGCTGCTGCTGTTGCAGAAGACAATAGCATGGGGCAGCAGCAGGTTGTTCACGCTGCTGCTGCGAGGGGCTGCTGCTGCTGCTGCTGCAGCATACAGTAGCATGAGGCAGGACCAAGTTGTTCACGCTGCTGCTGCTGGGTGCTGCTGCTGCTGGTGCTGCAGTGCAACATGCAGCATGCATCAGCATGCCGCAGCAACAGGTTATTCACGCTGCTGCTGCGGGAGGCTGCTGCTGCTGCTGCTGCAGCATACAGTAGCATGCCGCAGCAACAGGTTGTTCACGCCGTTGCTGCGGGGGGCTGCTGCTGCTGCTGCTGCAGCATGCATCAGCACGGGGCAGGAGCAGGTTGTTCACGCTGCTGCTGCTGGGTGCTGCTGCTGCTGCTGTTGCAGAAGACAATAGCATGGGGCAGGACCAGGTTGTTCACGCTGGTGCTGCTGCTGCTACTGCTGCTGCATGCAGCAGAAGGGGGCCACAACATGATGCAAGACCAGGTTGTTCACGCCGTTGCTGCTGCTGCTGCTGCTGCTGCAGCATGGTGCAGCAACAGGTGTTCCACACTGCTGCGGATGCTGCGTGGGGCGCTGCATGGGGCAGCAGCAACAAGTGCAAGTATTTGCACAGTTGCTGCTGCTGCTGCTGCTGCTTGGTGCAGCAGCAACAAGTGTTTGATCGAAACACTGTTGCTGCTGCTTGGTGCAGCAACAAGGGTTCAGTATAAAACCACTGTTGCTGCTGCTGTTGTTCTTCACGGCGGCTGCTGATGCATCCGCGTTTGCCTATGAAGGTATAATAAAGACCTTATAGGGGTCCACGGCCTCGTAAGAAAAGAGCAGCAGAGACTGAGCTAGCTAAGCTGCTGCAGTTGCAGTTGCTGCTGCTGCAGTTGCTGCTGCTGCAGTTGCTGCTGCAGTTGCTGCTGCTGTGAAGCGAACACATTCATACATTCATCCATGTATGTATGCATTTACTTTTTAGCGGGCTGAACCTTCTGGGGGGGAGGAGGGGCCTCAGTGGTGGCTAGCTGGACGCACTGCTCCTTATAGTCAACCTCATAACAAGTGAAGGGTACGCGTGTAGTCTCTGGCTTGAAGCATGTCCCCATACGCTCGCCTCTGACGTTCTTACACCTGATGCGGGGTTCACGTCTGGGGCAAGGGTACTCCTGGCTCTCCTGTACTACTGTGGTGCATGTACCCATCTCATATGCTGGTACGTTGACACAGTGTTCCTCCTCTATATGCTCAGGACAAGGATATTCTATCTCCTCTATTCTGACATCTATACAGGGTGTATCTACAGTTTGTTCTTCATCTTTACAAACTTCTTCAAATTCATGATGTTCACAACTTTTTTCTAAATGACGAAATAAAGTTGCAACACATGTACTTCTTCTTGGTTTTTTTATCTCATGACATCTCTCAAAGAATTCATGACGGGGACAGTCAAATGTTTCTTGTCTAGAGGTAAAACGATATCCTTTTCTGGGGACTTTCTTGGGTACATCCTGGCACTCGTTGAAGTGCTGAACCGCTGAGCATGGTACCTCTTCTTCCTGGGTCACCTGACGAACACAGTTCTTAGGGATTTCTTTCAACTCCATCTCACACTGTACATCTGGTACCTCACGGGGACACATATGTTGTTGTGAGCGTTGAACTTCACGTGTACATACACGAGGGATAGATATATGTACTTCTTCTGTACAAGGATATGTTTCTATCTCTTCTGTATCTACCTCAACAAGTCTGCATTTTCCTTTCTTTCCTGCTAGCAATCTACCCTTCTTTTTATAATCACCACAACGCTCAACCTTTGCCTTGAGAGGAACACGACGAGTACATGTCTTGGGGACTTGTTGGGTTTTTATATCACTGCAATCGTATGTTTCTAGTGCCTTTACTGCTTTCTCACATGGCTNGGGACTTGTTGGGTTTTTATATCACTGCAATCGTATGTTTCTAGTGCCTTTACTGCTTTCTCACATGGCTCCTGAATAACTTTCTTGACATCTGTACATTTCTTTTCCCACTTTTGTTCATTGCATGGGTATTGTTCTTCTGTGAGAGTGCTGCGGAGACATTTGCCATGATCTATAGCGCTACGCTTCGTGCAGTGTCTCTCCATAACAACTTCTTCATATGTATATTCTTCTGGGGTTTGTACTTCACGCTTACATTTGTTAGCTGTAACAACCATGTCGACGGAACACTCCATAGATGTCTCACTCCCCCAACACTCATACTCTTGTTTGTATGCTTCATAGTCTATACATGTACCCTCAGCTGGCTTTGCTACTATCTCACACTTAGGTACAGTGATCTGCTTGGGACAAGTTGTTGCGAACTTCTCTTCAACTTGTTTCGTGCAGTTTTTTTTCACTGTCTTGGGGACCTTAGCGCAGAGTTTTTGTTGTGATGCCTTGGGGCACTGGAACTGAACTTCTCTCTCTACTAGCCTGTGACAAGTACCCTCAGCATCCTGCTGACTCACTGCACAGAACTCGTGAGAGAGGGGGTGAGGACAAGAGAAAGGACGAGATACAGTTTCATCTCTGTAGCATGTTTTCTCCACACTGTATGGAACCTCGAAACACTCCTCCTCTACATTCAGAGGGAGCACGGGCTCCTGGGGGGCAGGGGGAGCCTTACTAGGAGGCTCAGCTTTCTTAGATGCCGGTGCAGGTTTACCCTGAACTACACCCCCGCCTACAGCAGCAGCAAGGAGAAACAATACAGGAGCCGCAACGCGCCTCATCTTGATAGGAATTAACTAAGACGGACGCAGAAGGGCAGAAAATATATAGAGAAGAAGAGGAAAGAAAAAAGAAGAAAGAACAAAAGTATATCACACTGGCGAGCCCGCATACTCACCCGCAGCAGCTAGCCAATCGATGCCGCGGGCAGTTGCTAGCGGTGATATGGTCAGCTCACTATACAGCTATTCCTCCATGGTTTTACACTTTATTCACAAATTCTTTCTTCATTTTACTTTTTTTATTCTATTTTTATAATATTAAACACAAAAATTTACCCTAGAACCATCAACGCACCACTGACCAACCGCGAGTGACCTGCTCGGTGCTGCAGCAGCAGCAGCAACTACACCGCGTCAAACCTCTCATACCGACTTCTTTTTTTTTTTATTTTTCTCTTTTTATTTCTTAAACTTTATTCAAATACATGAAATTACTTAAAACAAAAGAAAACACCACGCACCACCCCAGCAACCACCGCCGGTGACCCCACGGCTCGATTGGCGGTCGGCTGCACCGCCGGGTGTTTCTCTTCACTGCAGCAGCAGCAGCAGCAGCAGCAGCAGCAGCAGAAGCAGCAGCAGCAATTACTTTCTAACTTAACTCACAGCAGCACAACCCCAAGAGCCTCTCCCCGGTTGAGGCTCAGAGGCGGCACACACAAGCTAAACCCTGGCGCTGTGTTGCTGCTCTCTGCAGTTTCGGCAGCAGCAGCAGCAGCAGCAGCAGCAGCAGCAGCAGCAACAGCAGCAGCAGCAGCAGCAGCAGCTCTTCACAATTCTCTTCTTGGCGCCGCCAGCCACGACTAGTGTTGCTGCGCCCCCGCCAGGCCGCAGCTGCAGCGAGAGCAGCGTTCTAGGGAGAGTGAGCAGCTATCTGTTTTCTCTCTTTTTCTGTATCCTTTCTCCTGTCTCCTCTCTTCTGTCTCCTTTGTTGTGTTTCCCTTTCTGCTTCTGCCCCGCAGCGTCAGCTCAGCAGCAGCAGCAGAAAGGACAGCCTCTTTACACTCCATATCCTGCTGCTGTTGCTGCTGCTGATAGTTGCGAGTGAACGCCACTGCAGCAACAGCAGCAGCAACAGCAGCAGCAACAGCAGCAACATGGCACCACAACCAACTGATGCAGCAGCAGCAACTGTCGCAGTTGTACCAGCAGCAGCAGCAGCAGCAGCTATGCCAGCAGCGCCAACAGTGGCAGCTGCAGCTGCAGCTGCAGCAACTGCAGCAGCAACAGCAGAAGCAGCAGCAACAGCCGCAGCAGCTGCTGCAGCTGCCGCAGCAACTGCAGCAAGAGCAGCAACAGCCGCAGCTGCAGCAGCAGCAGCGTCAGCTGTGCCAACAACAACAGCAGTTGCAGCATCAACAGCAGCTGCAGCATCAACAGCAGCTGCAGCATCAACAGCAGCTGCAGCGGCAACAGAAGCTGCAACAGCAACATCAGCTGCAGCAGCAACAGCAGCTGCAGCAGCAACAGCAGCTGCAGCAGCAGCATATGTAGCTGGCTGTGTCCTACCACTTGGCAGTTGCAGCCACAAACCCCAACTCAACATTTAAATTTGGTTTGATCGTCTCCTCTAAACCCTAAACCCTAAACCCTAAACCCTAAACCCTAAACCCTAAACCCTAGAAAACTAGATACTCCTCGCTAAACCCTAAACCCTAGACCCTTAATGCTGAACACTAGAGCCTAGAGTTTTAAAATCCTCATCAGCAGGACCCAAGAAATCAAACCCTAAACCCTAAACCCTAAACCCTAAACCCTAAACCCTAAACCACGATTAAGATGTTAGGAAATCAGAGCGTGTGAGAATATCCCGGCAAGCTGAACTGCGGCCTAGCCTGCATCACCGGTATTGCTGCTGCTGCTGNAGCGTGTGAGAATATCCCGGCAAGCTGAACTGCGGCCTAGCCTGCATCACCGGTATTGCTGCTGCTGCTGCTGCTGCTGCTGCTGCTGCTGCTGCTGCTGCTGCTGCTGCTGCTGCACATATTTGCAGCTAGCTGCAGCACCTGCGTTATCTCCTTGGGGTAGGCCCAGGCGTCCTGTGCTGCTGTCTCCTCCCTCAACAGACCAGGGGCAGCAGCATCAGCACGAGACATCATTTCTCCTGTCTCTGCTGCTGCTGCTGCTGCTGTGCCTGCTGCTGCTGCAGTGCCTGCCACCGCTGCTGCTGCTACTGTACAAGCTGCTGCTGCAGCACCTGCTGCTGTACCTGCTGCTGGTGCTGCTGCTGCTGCTGCTGCTCCGTCAGCCAGTATAACAGTGTCCGCTTGAGCTGCTGCTGCATCTGCTGCAACAGCAGCTGCTGCAGCAACTACTGGAGGTGCAGCAGCAGCAGCAGAAGCAGCAGCAGCAGCAGCAGCAGCAGCAGCAGCAGCAGCAGGTCCCTGCATATTGAGAGAACGGGGATCCTTCCTGGCCCTTCTTGCTGGTGCTGTTTGTACGGTTTGTGTTTGGTGTGTCTCCTTCTGGGGTGTATAGGCAGCTATCATCTGCGTGGTTGTC